GTCCAAACTCGAAATAAATCACAGAGTTCTTGTCATTGAAATACATGATTAACTAGGTTATCTTCTTCATGAAAATAATAATACTGTTATATCTGAGATAATGATTTTTAGTATTAGGATATGATCATTGACTATTTGAATTTTGCTTAGTTATGGTTTCAAATATAAGGAGAAAATCGTTTATTTCTATATTCATTTTCTCGAACACATGCTAGCTTATTATCTGTCATAATGGAGGAAAAATGATCTGTTTTTTTGTCTACAGTTTCGTATGTTATTCTAGTTATCATGTATTTATTCCTTAGTGACATCGAAAACATATACTCATTAGCAAAGAAACAACGTAGATCTATAATTTTAGTAACTATTTCGAGGCTGGCGCATCATTTTGTTTTGATCGCTGCATATTTTTATATTACTGATAATTATTAACTGTATAAGAATTCTTTTGAAGATAAGATAGAATGAATTAAAATTCCATTGCTAATTATTTGTATTTTCATTGAAAAAAAAACTTCTACTCCATAGCACCGTCAACCAAAAGAAAGAAAAACAAAAAGTAAAAGCGTAGGCAAAAAAAAATGTATTGTGAAATACAATGAGAAAACATGCAATACGTACAAGAAAACAAACATGTCAAATGAGATCATCCTATGAGATTTCAATTACAAGAAAAGAAATTTATACAGAAAGAAAAGAAAACAATGCATTCATTAGAAAGAAATTTAAAATCAAAGCATAGATGTAGAGAATACTGTATAGACGAATTATTTTTTACGTTGATCTCTTGTTGTTGTAGTATCAAATTGAGCTAAATTTGATGGCCAATAACGATTTATATTTGAGATTTGCCGAGCATGAGTATGATGATGATCATCAGTTGTTGTTTCATGTCGTTTTTTCTTTTTCGTAGCTGCTAAATCAGGATTTGATGCTTCAAGCATTGGTTGCAAAATTCGTCGACGTGCATTTATAAACCAATTATTAACTTGAAGTAAAGATAAATTTGTTTTCTGTGATATTGCTCGTTTTTCATCTTCAGTTGGATAAGGATGAACCTTTGAAACGAAAAACAAGAAAGAAATTTTTAATTTTTAAATAATTATTTATTTACAATATGTTGAAATAGCCAACTACGCATTATTGATGTTGCACTTTTAGGTAGAACACCACGTTTAGACGATGATGATGATGATGGAACAATTGTCGATTGTTTACGTCGTTTTGTACAAAACGAATCAAATAAATCTACTGAAGAATCAACAATAGGTGATGGACCGCTAGCAATTATTTTCGAAAGTGGTGTTTGACCATTGAATTGTGTTGTATATGGATGACAAATTGAATTGAAGCCATTATTCGATACAGATTGTTTTCTAGAATTACAAAACAAAATATCTATCTTTTTTGAACCTTTCATATCGAGTGATATCTATTTCTCAATTATCGAATATCTGAAAAATATACTAGCTTGGTTATTGTCGTATTATTCGAAATTATACTTCGACAACGTTCGGTAATACAAACTCACTTCTAAAGCTTTTATATTCATTATGAATCTTATCTATAGACTAAATCTGAATTTAAATGACAGTTTATCATAAGATAACAGTGAAATATCTAATAAAAATTTCATACCCATAATGTTGATCTTTAGTAATATTCTTTTCGTTTGTCATAAAATCATCATCATCATCATCATTTTCTTCACTCGATTCAAAATCATCATTAATGTTTAATTCGAAATCTTCATCTTCATCATTAACATCATCGTCATCATCATCGTCTTCATCATCAGTAAATATATTATTTGCATTTAATTTAACTTTTAAACAAGCGATATAACGTTGACAAAAATCTCGACATAAATCATTAACTTTATCAAGTTCAAGTAAATGTATACGAAGTACTTGCATTGCATCAATATAAAAATTATCAATTATGGCTGCTGATGATGTTGATGTACCATCATTATCATGTTTAGGTGTTGTTAATATTTCTGGATTTTTTGATAAGAAGATTTTTAAATTATGTTCAAATGATGATGATGTAAAAGATTCATCATTCGTTAATAATAATGATGGATTTAATGTTGCTTGTTCACATCGTTCAAGTACATAAGTAAGTACAGGAAATAATGGATGTTTATAAATTAAACTTTTTTGTGCAGTTATTAATTGTGTATCATTTGAATGAAAACGATTTTCATCATTATCATCATCTGATGATGAAGTTGATGACATCGTATGTTTTGTTCTTTGCTGAAGAAAAAAAAACCTCTTTGACTTGACTTCTCAGTATGGATAGAAAAAAAAAGAATAACCAATGATTGATTAGAATATAAAAATTTAAAAAAAGAACTTTTTGGCTCAATGAAAAGATAAATTTGAATTTATTTTAACGAATTTTATTTTATTTTATTACTTAAAAATTTGAATTAACTTCATGGTAGAGGTCTATTGATAAATTCTGATTGGTTTAGAATAACGTGATACTATAGCTTACTGATTTTTACGACGATTCTTGTTTGTGTTCTGTTCTATATGACGAACACGCTCACGTTTTTCTTGTTAAAAAATCGATGTTAAAAAGAAATAGAAAAATTAACAAGAATAGAAAAAGAAGCCAACTACTATTTTCTCTTTTCTTTACTCATTTACAACACTTATCTTACAGTTATAAAACTTGTTTCACTATCACCGGGCTAATGTAGTACATTCGATATGTTAACTATGTACCACACTTGCTCGCGGTGCATAATGAATAGAGATTTATTGATATATGTATGCGTTGTCCTAATCTTCTATTCACATATTCTTATTTCTTGTCACGTTTTGTTCTACTGATAACTGTTTCAAATTAAGATTATTTTTCTATCGCATTGTTTTTATTGATCGAAAAATATTGACTTGCTTCTCTCTACTCTATGCAATCATTCGTTTATCTATGTATGAAATTTATAATCAACAATAAATCGATTTAAACGATATCTTTATGGATAACAAATTTTGAAATCAACAATAAACAGATATAGAGAAATTTTATATACTGAATCAAGCTGACACTCATTGCACATATATCAGAAATATCATAGTAGCAACTGATCATAAAGTCTATCAATTCTCAAAGGACGTAAAGAACTAAAAAAACGCCCAAACTGCTGTTCTCTCCTTCAGACATCTGTCTCACAGGCATGCGTATTTTTCATCCGTCTATCATGATCATCTATTATTCTGAAAATATTACTTTTTTTACATAGAGATAATAGAAATATCAAATCATGATAAACTATCATTTATTTGAATTAATACATTATATCATATCAATAATTTGACTGATTAATATAAAATAGTCTATCGACCAAAATCTGTAAATAAATACAAATTAAATCAAATTGTGTTTTATGGATATTATTTAGTAGTTAGAAAGTAAAAGTACAACATGATTTGAGTGTTAAGTATATTCATCAAACAGCACTCTTGAAAACAATATATGCGTAAACTAATTTTCAGTTATTTTAATGAAAATCCAAACACTATCAGAAAACTAGAAGAACTAATTTCAATGTTTGGTATTTCTTAAAAGATCACATTTAAACTTTATAGATTATTTGAAAGAAGTTCTTAGCAAAGATAAAATCTCGAAATATACTAATTATATTCTGTCCTAAGATTCTGGAAAAGTAGATCTTGCTATCTACAATATTTGTTTGTAATAATAAATGAGAAACTTTAGTTATTGTCTTGATCATAATACAAAAAAAAACATTGACGTTTTATAAAGTAACAATACTAGAATATAAAATAAAGGTTATCAAAAGCAAGAACTAAAAGAATAGATACATTCGAATTCGATTTATTGCTGTATAATCGAATACAGATGCATATTGTATACGAATGAATAAATGATCCGAAATTTCAGACAACGATATCAAATAGCTTAAATTAGATTTTTTTGCATGTAGCAGTGTTCTACAATCATTCATTTGTTTTCATAGTAAATTGTATTAGAAAAATATAAAAAATTAATATGAATTAATCTTTAAAAACAATTGAGTCATCATCATTATTATTATTTCTTGGTGTAGATTTTGGATCTGACGAATGTATACTATCATTCAATGATAAAATACAACCATCCTGAAAAGTCAATTTATTAGATTGATTATAAACTTTTCTGAAGAACAAACCTTTAATAATTCCAGACCTATTCGTGCAATATTAGTTGCATCATCAATACCTGAATGAGGACGACCATCAAAAGTAAGGCCAAGTTTTGCTAACATTTTATTTATACCTACATATTCAAAAATTTATCTATAGAGAGTCAAAAATGATTACTATTGATTTCATACCACATCGTTTTACAGAATAAAAATGAGCGAATTCTTTTCGCAGATCAATCCATTCTGTAGCCCACTGTGGATAAGATATAGAACTCAATTGACATTGTAATTGAAGGAATTTTGTAAAATCCCATGGGCTATTATCGAAAAAGAATAATATTATGAAAACAAAGAAATAATTGTATTCAATACCCATCAGTAGCAAATGCGAATGTATGTTTATTTGCTGGTAATAAAAGTTTTCGTTCATTTAACCATGTTTCAACATTATGTAAAACTTCAACAAATGTAGGAGCACTATCTACTTGATGCTAAAGAATTTTTTTTCGAATAAATCATCAATTATATAAAAAGTAGATCATTTATAAAACACACGTGTTCAACTGTCAGATCGCTTTTTCAATGAAAGCTACAGAGCTAGAGATTATCTACTATGCCGATCCCGAATATTAATATAAAGGTCTTCTAAGGAATAGCTAAACTAGATAAGACAATGTGGTAGTAATACGGTATGAAAGTTCTAAGGGTCTATGCGAAATCAACGATGATGATGATGTTTTAATTAACCAATTCACATCTTTATACAACCGTTGATTATCATAATTATCCCTTATGAGTTTATATACATCCCCGGGCTAATTCTATCTTTTAACAACGATTTGACATTTATATCAGTATCGTTAATCTTTATTAGCATTATTCTCTTATAGAAGCCATGTAGTCGAAAGGTCTCAGTTATAAACACAGAATTACTCCTATGTGAAAACTATCTATAGCATTCAATGCAATTTAGTTTTTAAAATTATACATACTTGCTCAATACCAGTTAAATCTGTACAAAATTTCGATAAAATTGGGTTAATTATCGGTCGACAATATGATTGAAATTTATCAACCTAATTAAGAAGACAACAAGTTTATATCAACTTATTCAATGTAAAATATGTTTTACAATCGTTTGTTGTTGTACATTAATCAATACAATTGGAAATTCGATTATTTCATTCTGATAATTATCTTGTTGATCCTCACATGTTGCTTCAAAATCAACAACAGCTATGTATTCAAACTGCTGTTCGATCATTGTCAATGGATTTTTACATTGAAATGTTAATTCGTATTTATAATAATGCTTTAAACGTATACGTCGAATATCCATATCACCGCTAATAATCAGAAATGAAAAGTAAAACTATAAGTATCAAATTTTATGTTTGATTTTTTTTCGAGAACCTTGTAGATAACTGTCGCTTTTCTAGTTCTACATCAAGTTGTTCGGATGTCATTTGATTGATACGAGCACTAAATTTACCGATAGTTTTTTGAGAAACTTGATGAATCATAGGCTTTTGCTTTGAAAGTCGTTGTTCTTCAGCAAGAAATGAATTAGCATCTGTACCTTTTTTCCAATCCAAATCCTTGATCTATTCCAAAATGGTAAAATAATAACGCAACATATAAATGAAATCGAACCTGCTCTTTAGATAAATCTAAATTTTTCTTCGTAGACGATGCCATTGCAATTGATTATATAAGAAAACTATTGAGTCAAAAAGATGGGATTATATATAGTCATAATTTCGTAATTTATGTGTCATATTCACACTCGTCATTTAATTAAAAAGTTGCGACATGAGCAGAATAAGTATGATTGGTTACTTGTCCAAGAGAGAATTTAGATGTCGCTTATCTTCCGAAAATCTGATACATATTCAAAAACTTACAAATACAAGTTTCCTAATTGCCAAAATCAATATCTACAATATTTTACAGATTAGAATAACTATGCCACAAAATATATTATTTTGGCCTTTATTATAAGAGTATAGAAAATTGTTAGGGAAATGATAGTTAATGAGGAATAATTATTATTATAACTGTTACTAACTTGTTGACAAATTCGACATTGTTTTTTTGCCACTTCTTGAACACATATACATTTATTAACGTAATTATTACTCAAAAATAATGTATGTTTCGAAATTATGATTCATTTATTTATATCAGGTAAAGCAAAAATTTTTCTTCTTCTGAGACAATAAAAATTCTATTTAATAATTCTGTCAATCATAAATACTTTCAATAGACTTTCGCACTAAAGAATGTCATGATATTAATTTACATCTGAATATCTTGATAATAAATAGGATGATATATTCGCATGAAAAACAGAATTTTTCCTAGCAATAATGATATTCATGTGAACTACTCTATTCTATATGTCGAAATAAGTGCAAAGCAGATGTAAAATAGACGTTTATTATCTCTTCATCTGATTAATGACTTTTTTTTTCTACAAAATACAAAGAAAAATATATAACTTAAGAATAGAAACTAACATACGATGCACAAGTAATAACAGAAAATGTCAACTCGTATAATTCCTTGATAACTATCTATTAGAACGAATAGACGTTTTCTTTTATCATTTGGTAAGATATTGTTTTTCCGCTTTCAAACATATTCAAAAACAAAATAATATAAAAAAGTTCTATCTCTTAGGTAATTTTCTATATTTATCGATGTTTTTTTTTGGATGATTAATAATTAATAGTTAATATTCAAACACTCAACTAATTAATATTAACTAGTGTTATTTTTTATGATTAGCATAGATCATTCAATTTTAATTAGAAATTTTTTTCTTACTATAGATTTCTATTTTGAGAAGTCAGTAAGTCTATTAAACATCCCTCGATCTGGAATAGTTGTTGTTGGAAACGATTAAATTATTGTTTTTCTTACATGATTCCCTTGATACATCAATATAAACTACTCCAGTAGTTTTCTTTTTTGTTTATGAATATATATATATGATCAAAGAAACTATAGGTTTGTTTCACTATTTTATTTATAGTTTTTTTTCCGAATGTACTTATTATAGAAAGATATATTTATTGACATTTTGTTTTTTGTATTGTATGTTATTTTCAGAATTATTGATAATCGATTATATGCTTTTGACATATATCATATTTTTACAGAAAAGTTCTCGTCCTAACGCGTTAATTATTTGATTTTTATCACCAGAAAAGAATTTTTATTGATTGACAATCAATGAAACTTATCCATTAGTTATATAGAAATGTTTATTCTGTTCAGATGTTTTTTGCTTATACATATTCTAACAAGCTCAATTAGATATAAATAGAAATCTTGTTATCACACCACTTAATCTCGAAATCATTCTTTCATCTGTCTTGTCTTATTGAAGGTTATCTATATGGGTAAAGACAATGTTTCTTTGTATTGTATTTATTTCCTACTGTAGTTATTCTTATGCTTCAGTAGCACATCAATCAATAGAATTCGGTAAAAATTACCTATTCAGCTAAGTTGATTTATAGTTTTGATTGATTGATTGTACTATTCACAGTTTTTTTTCCGTATTCTCAATTATAGTGATCGATGTATTTGTTTCTTTCTTTTCATTTTTAAAGTAAAATTTAGTTTCTTCATACAAGTAAACTATTGTCTTTTGATATATACTAAAAAAGAACTTTAGTAAATCGTTAATTTGTTTTAAGATGACCTTGACATGTACTAGTAATTTCTCTAAGGAAATCGAACAATGCACCTGTTAGTAGTTTCCGTTTAGTACGTGAGGAAAAGCGGAAGGTCTAACGATACACGCGGTATTTACGTGAAAACGTTTGATAAGATGACCTTGCTAAAAAATTATAGCTAGATATGTAAGTATATGCTTGACCTCGCACTTTCACCGCCCAGTGACATGTGATAGACCCGCAAGTATACTTAACATGTACCATTATCGTTTAACAATTTAGATAGTACAGTCATTATTTAAGTCGGCAAAACGTGTATGTAATTAAAACGGAAATTAAATCTTCTTTCATTTCTCTTTTTTTGATTGTGATCGATTCATTTAATTAGAGTTCGTATTGACCGGATGTTTGTTGAAATCTATCCGTTTTTTGTTTATCGTTTCAAGAGAATTAAGAGTCTCTTAGTCATTTAATTCCGTGTCTTTTGCTAGCACACAACAGCAAACTGACGCCGTAAAAAAGAGTAAAAAAAGAAAGAAGAAAAGAACATGTTACTATGCCATAGCATTACATATAAATGAAAAATGAAGGACAAAGAAGAAGCGAGAAAAAAAAATCACTGAACGATCTATCACGAAATGAAGAAAGAAGAAAGAAGAAGAAGAAGAAGTCCTTAATGCCACTCAATAGGTGACTCATACATTGTGTACTATACTTGAAGGAAAGAGTGAGAGAGAAGAAATAAAAGTTTTTTTTCTGAGCATTTAATCAAAAAAAAAAGAAGATGGTTGATAGTGCTACACACTTCTTTATAATTTATAAGAATGCTCCGCTCAAAACATCCTGGTAAAGTTACTTAATAGACTGTTATTAATATTCACGCTTTTTATTCTAGCACAAATTAATTCCATCGGCTAGAGCATGCTCGAAAATATTCCTATATATTCTTCTCCTACTGTTAATAGATAAATATATCTATCACTATATCTAATTTCTTGTCTTTATTAAACACATACGACAGATTATGTTATATGAGATGGAGAGCACGTAGAACAAAACAACATATCTATTTCTTTAGCAATAACTCGTATGCATATATCTAACAAAAAAAAATCAGAAAAAGAAAATGAAAGATTTGTATAAATATACGCATGATCTATTCATTTTAAGTAGTTTCTTTGATGAATAAATTTTTTTTGCTTAATATTTTAAAAATGAAATAGTTTTCTTCTTTTTTTTTTTCTTTTTTCTTTTTTCTTTATTGCAATCTGTTACACTTTAGAAAGGGAGAGAAAAAACTCTAAGTTAAATCAACAATAACTTCTCTCGATACACTTACTACTTTTCTTTTCTCTTGGCAAATTACGTTAGAAACAAATTAAAATAATATACAAGTGATTCCTTTTTTTTTTTCTTAACCACCTGCTTCGTCAATTTACTTAGTTACAGTTAATTATAATCTTATATCCCTTAGGTTTTTTTTCTTCAGTTATTTTCCTATTTTCGATAGAGCTACACCATCTGGCTTTCGTTCTCTCCTAGTGTCTTCTTTCAATTAAGAAAATATCTATTTTTCCATTTTTTTCTCGGTTTTTTCTCTCTTGATGTTGTCGCTCTCGTCGGCTCATGCCAAGGACATCATCATCATCATCATCCCTAAAGAAAGAACAACAGAAAGCCATTTCCGGATCGTAAAAAAACTTTTTTGTCATATTACTTCAATTCTTCTCTGATTTAGTATATCCCTAGATCAAACAAAGAAGAGAAAAGGTATAGTTGATGTTATTTAAAGTATATATGTATATGTATAAATCATATTTGTCAATGAATCTCTTTAGGAGTAATACATACAATTTTTTTTGTGAAAGAAATACTCATTGAGAATACAATTACAATACGTCTCATAATTCATCACTTGTCCGTTTTCTATTTAGTTTATCGTAAAATCTATCATATATATGTACTACATACAATGAATTTACTACATTTCCTATTTGATTTATTTTAACGATGTTAATCTTTTCTTCAAATGAACTGTATATTAACAACGAGGACAGTAGTCAGAACAATATAACCTAAGGGAATACTCAGTAGTAATTTTATTACATTGATCAATATAGACACAGTTGCAATTTCAATAACATTAGACTCGTTTTTTTTGTTGTGTTGTAAATTAGGGAGAAACCTTGTACTTTTTTTTGCAATGCTGATGAATATTGACTGTTAGAATAATAACTTAGCTTCTAAGTGTGACAGTAATCCAAGTACATCGTCAGTATTATCCAGCTGTCGCCCGTAGAACTATCAGCATGTGCATGTTATGTTTATTTAAGCATAGGAAGAAGATATAATTACGAAAATGAAATGATTATATTTGTCTCTTTTATGTATTTTATTCTTTTTAGATTTAATTTTGAAAAAAAATGAAATTAAAAGATTATTTAAATTCACTTGTTTCAAGACGAAAAAGTAATACATCTTCGAAATCTCCTAAAACAAAAATAAATGAAGAATCAATATCATCAACAGATTATCATTATGAAATATGTGATTATAATGATACAAATAAAGTTCCTATCAATGATCAACCTAATCGAACGGAATTTCTCCTAGCTCGTCATGCTCATTTAGTCAATACCATTGTTGGAATACAATCACAAACAAATTCATGTTCTCATTGTCGAATATTACATCAACAAACACAACCGAATTTCTTTGCGAATTCGAATTATTCAAATACATTAGCAACATGTAATTTACATAGTGAATGTCCATATCAAACATTTATATCATCAAGTAATAGTTCTCTATGTGTAAAAACAAGACAACGTTCAAAAATTCGAACAAATCCTTGGATTAAAACAACACAAACATCACAAGTGAAAAATTTCATTTGTAATCCATCAACATTATCATCTGGACTTATACATTCGGAATCATTTCCACAAACGATATCGAATGGAAATATTTATTTAAAAAATCCATTAAATAGAATTCTTCATCAAAGTGATAGTGGACATGGATTATCATTATCAAGTTCTCGAATGATTGATTCATCATCATCACCAGATAATACGAGTAATGATGGAATTTTATCCGATAATAAACAATTCGTACTCTATACCAAACAAATCGAACAATATTCTTCTCCAAAAACAATTCCTTCTGATAATAAACGAAAAATAAAAAAATCTTCACAATCTCGTTATCAACGTCCATCAAATACACGATTATCTAGTCCAAAAAAAAATTATATTCATCGTAAAAATTCTTCACGTAGTTCATCACCACGTTTACATAATGATCATTTTTCAGTTGAATTCGAAGAAATTGTTGAAAATGAACGTATACATAAACAACGCTCACCTACACGAAAAAGTCCATTTATATTACCATTAGATGAAACATATGTTCAATCATCATCATCACCATTATCTATATTACGTTCTACAACATTAAAAAAA